TATCTAACGATTTAAATAATTGTATACATATTAACATTGTTTTCGCAAATATAAAGTGGATATTTTAAAATACTGTATAATATTCAATCTAGTTGTTGAAAATTAGCTGAAATATTCTCACTACGCTCCAGCGGACACCAAGAAATGTATTCATATTCTTATTGGTAATAACACTAAAGTCCATTCGAATTAGTATATAGAAAATTAAATAACACTCTCAACAGTATGCTTGATCGGTATCATCGTGGTATAAAAAATAAACATTTAATAACTTAACGTCAGAAAGAAGAGGGTTATTAATGTACCATGTCAGGTGGACTTCCGTGTTTTGTATCGTGGTAAATTGCCATTTGCCATTATGGCTAACTAACCTGACTTCATATTCATTTTATCATCCTCCTCTGGTGCCCCGCCAGCGTAAACCTTTAGCGCAGGTAGGTGTATCATTCAATTATGAACCTAGTGGGTGTTCGCTAGGTTTCATCTGTTGGGAAATGAAGTTGAGACTTAGGTATTTATGAAAAAAATATCTATATATTTGTATCAGTTATCTAATACTTATAACACATGTTTTGACCAGCTTGACTTAGGTCTGTGTGTTAGATAGATAGATGGCGCTGTGTGAATTGTCCTGAGATTTTTTTTTTTATAACACAGGGGACAAACGAGCATGGGCTCACCTGATTGTAAGTGATTACCGCCGCCCATGAGGACCCGCAACACCAGGGGAATTGCAAGTACGTTGTCGGCCTTTTAAAAAGGAATAAGCTCTTTTCTTGAAGGTTTCAATATCGTATCGGGTCGGAAATACCATTGCTGGAAGGTGATTCCACAATGTGGTTGTGCGAGGCAAAAAGTTTCTAGAAAACCGTACTGTGGAAGACCGCCATTCATCCAGATGATCAGGATGGTATTTCAGTTTCTGGCGGGTGGTACGGTGGTGAAACTCAGCAGCTGGTATTAATCCGAACAATTCCTCAGAACACTCCCCGTGATATATGCGGTAGAAAATGCACAGAGATGCAATATCTCGCCGCAAAGCCAATGGGTCGAGTCTGTCACATAGACGTTGATTACTATTATATAATTATTATTAGATTATTATTATAATTAGTTTTGAATACGTCCCCTCTATTACATATATCTGTGTTCACGTATATATTTACAAGCAACGTTAATGGTGCACGCCACCAGTTCGCACTGTTGCAATATTCATCCACTACACATTATATATCGCTGTATATTTATACTTAATAACCACTATACCTCTATGTCTCCAAGATATTTATCCCCATTTTAATGTTTCTCCTTGTATCCGACGTTTAACATTACTTACAGTAATGTTATAATTATTAACTGTCCTGAAAGAATCGTTTAATTGCTACATTAATAGATCTAAGATAAGCTTGGCAAGCCAACTCCGTTATCCAGATACGATTTCAATTATGTACAAAGTTGGCAAGTGCTAGTTGGATGTGGGAAGCAAACTTGGACCTTATCTTATAATCCTGGGAAAATTATGTTTGTGGCACACAAATATATATACGAGTAAGCATTTAGTTATCTTTTCTAACAATTTTCTTTATTTTGTTTTGTTATTTTTGTAACATAACATCGTAATATATATATATTATGATATGTAATGTTAAATCGAATGTAAGTTATAATAATAATAATCTTAGCACAATTCACACAGCAACATATAGTCCCAAGTTAAGCTAGCTAAAGCTTGTGTTATGGGTACTAGATTACTGATACAAATACATTGATTTTTTTCGTAAATACATACATAGTATACATAGATTACATTCAGACGATAAGATGATACGAACAATCGTACTCAAATACAAATGCTTGTACTGTGCGAGGAATCGAACCGACTACTATCGGAAGTAAAGCGGTGTGCTAAAACACTAAACCACCGAGGCCGTCTAATAACGTAGAGTTGCTTGAAATAAATGATGAATATGTCATGATGGGCTAACTGACCTGACCTCATGCTTATCTTATCATCCTCTACTGGTGTCCCGCCAGCGTAAACCGTTACCGCAGGCAGGTAGCACCATTCCATTTATTTATTTACATCGTACTAAGTGAGCTGTACAGTCTCCCAATATACCCACTTAGGAAGATAATATACAAATTACACACATTTATAAACACTAATTACACAAGGAAATAAATAGAGAAAAAAAAACAATAATAATAATACCTAATCTCCATTTAACGTACTACCTAAATAATCAATTTTATTTATATGTATATTATCTATACATATAAATAAAATTGGAGTGTCTGTTTGTAATAACCGTTTTTTACTACATGCATATGAATATAAATACCGTACATACACCAAAATAACATTTTTACAACTTTTGTCTGTCTGTCTGTTTGTTCCGGCTAATCTCTGAAATGACGGGACTCATTTTGGCAGGTAGCTGACGTAATAAGGAGTAACTTAGGTTACTTTTATCTTAGAAAAAATCTTTTATATTAGAAAAATTAAGTTAAATTCCACGCGGACGAGGTCGCGGGAACAGCTATCTGATGATATCTATTATATCTGAATGATAACTATTGCGTATTTATTGATTGGTGTTACGTCTAAAACAAGGGTCTTCAACCCGCGGCCCGCTGGTGTGTTTTCTGCGGCCCGCCAATAGCATTGGCCCACTCTCAATAACGACAACAATGAACTAATAAAAAGTGCATTTAATATCAAATAAAAAAATCCTTATAAAAATATCTATGGTGTGCAGAATAAAAATGTTTTTGGCCCTTGAGTTATAAAATGTTGAAGACCGCTGGTCTAAAACGAATGCTAATCAAGCTGAATCTGGTTGGATTGTCAAATGTCCGAGCAGGCAGCCGCCTGACCGTGGATCCTGCGACGTTTGCGCAATAGTACTATTGTCGGTTTGTTCCACTCGCATTGATGTAGTTGCGAATTTATTACGCCATCAAATACGGGGCGTGCAAAGAGTGCAGGATTAAGAGTATAAAAATAATAATAATTTCGTTACTGACTCCGCCAACTCCGTACCGCCTTAGAATTATAGGAATTTTGACGTTTAGTTTATTTCTAAACGACTTTATTTCTAGGAATGAAGATAATATTTTAAAGAAGGTGTTACATATGAATGTGGATGGTTATAAGGGCAGAGGAAGACCGAAAAAGAGATGGATGGACTGCGTGAAAGATGATACGGTAAGAAAGGAAGTAAATAACGCGATGACTGCGAACAGAGATGAATGGAAGAGAAAAACATATTACACCGACCCCAAATAAATGGGATATGGAAGAAGCAGATGATGAGTTTATTTCTAAACACAGGATGCGTTTAGAACATTAAATTGTAATTTTCTTGAAATACAAGAAAGCTTTATAAAATAATTCTCTATTAATGCAAATTATTATTGTATAGTGTCATTTTGTGTGTGTAAAAATTAAGTTATGCATGCTGTGTCTACATCTAGAAGGATGTGTTACTTAAATAGTTTGTTTTATGTGTATTAAGTTATGTACTATGTAAGACATCCAGTTTTGTAGACCTAATAAATAAAAAAAAAAAAGAAATAAGCTAAACTTCAAAACTTGACAGTTTGTATGTGAAAATAAAATTCTTATTTTTACTATTCTCTATCCAATTTCTTCATATTTTATCACCGTTTAAACCTTCCCTGGATTTCGACGAATATTTCAAGATTGAAATTAGCCAAATTGCTTCAGCCGTTCTCGAGTTTTAGCGGGACTAATGAACAGCAATTCATTTTTTATTACTTTCGCATTTATAATATTAGTAAATATATTAGTTACAGGAGCTAATACAATGTCAGCGTTACAGATTTATCTGTAGCTTTAGGCTGATTTGGTTGCCTTTTGATCTTTGCGGTACATAAAGTCATCTACATTTCTTTTATTTGTACAATTTTTTTAACTAGTATAATGCTAGATAGTATAGGTAGGGACGTTGACGACTAATGAATGAGTTGATACTCCACATACAGAGGCCAAGATTTGAATCCTACGCAGAGTAGTCTCAAAAAAAATCACACAAAATCTTTTCTTTAGTTGCGATTAGATTTGAACTTACGACCCTCATGTCGGTGTAGTAAGTCACTAAGAATACGCGTCAATTATTTAAATACTTCAAATACGGAACTCTATAAATTACAAACATTAAAAATAGGATTTTTTGCGTGCTGGTCGAATTATTGAAGCGTATCTCCCGGACATCGAGCGATATCTAATGAGCGATTATTGTAAAATGTTCCTTGTGAGTGTTTAATATAAGGTTTATTATATCAGAAAGGATTACGAGGATCTAGTTCTCGGAGGACGAATCGAATTCAAATCGGAATCGTAGCAATTATCACAATTAATCGATTATTCAGAAATATTTTTTATCAGTCAATATGCAGCAATGGTTATGTTTAATCGATTTCCAATAAGTGTTAAATAATCCATTTAAAAATATAAATCAGATTGTGATTTTATTTACGGAAATAATCTAATTTGACGGTCTTGGTCTAGTGGTTAAGCACACCGCTTTACTTCCGATGGTGGCGGGTTCGATCCCTAGTGCGAATTCATGAGTGTGATTGTTCCGATATAAACAGTCATACTCATGTATACAAGTAGTGCTACAGTTACCACTTTCCATATGACCATAAATACCATTCTATAGATATAAAAAATACAAAAAAATCAACGACTGACCGTTACAGTACGGTGCAATCTCTCTAACACAAACAAATTATTTTATTTGAATATATTAATATACATAATAATCTTAATCATATTATAAACGCGAAAATTTGCGAGTATGGCTGTTTGTTACTCTTTCACGCAAAAACTACTGCACGGATTATGATAAAACTTTACAATAATATAGCTTATCATCAGAATAATACCTAGGCTATATTTTTTATTGAAATTTAACGCGAGTGAAACCGCGAGCATAGCAAGTATGTATGATATGCTATCCAACTTTATTTACCTTGCATCCTTCACAGGTGAAAGCGCCAAAATGGAACCCTGCCGCCGGTTCTCCACAAACTTTGCACTTTTGGTTCATCTGTAAATAAAAAAAAACACCAATATAGTTTTTAAAAATAATACACATATATAAATAAACAATGTGTGTGTTTAATAATACATATTCCTAATTATATATTTCATGTTTTGAAATGACAAATATGTGGAAATGTTGTGTTTATTTTCTTGTAATTTAATACTGTGTTTGTTTACATTTTATTAAATAACTAGTGAGTGATACCGGCTTTTCTTGGATGCATTACAAATCTTTGAATATCTCCGCTTGTCCTATATGCATATATTATACATATAACCTTCACCTTTAATCACACTATCTATTACTGAAACTTGCATGAAAATCCGTTGCTTAATTTAAAAGATATAAGCGAAATTACAGCGAAAGCGACTTCATTTTATACTATACTTTACATAGTATAAAAAGAAGTTGTTAATTACTTAAATAAATAAAAAAATCAACAATAATTTTATGACACAAAATGAGAAAATAAGTTGTTAATTACCTAAATAAATTATAATAATACACAAATAATAATTTTGTGACACAAAATGAGAAATGAATTTGATAAACGCCTAAATAAATTAAAATAATACACAATTAATAATTTTGTGACACAAAATGAGAAATAATATTGTTATTACACTGAAACAGTGCAATAGTGTTGTTCTTATCGATCGACATAAACAATGTACTGAAAACCGGCACACAAACCCAATTCAGTGTTAATACACCATGACGGAGATCTACCATTTTCCAATCAGTCATTTAGTTGTTAATTTCGAGGCCCACGGCGCATGTTATTGCTTCCGATAAATCGTTTTGTGTAACGATTAATATTGTTACAATGTATCGACTAAAATTGTTTCATTGCATCTTTGTACAGTTACACGGATTTTATGTTATAAAATCTATCGATAACAGCGATGCCCAGCGTTGCTAGACGTCCCTATTTTGTCGGGACGTCCCGATTTTTAAATTAATCAACAGGCTCTGTCCTGCTTATCGGGGATAACTCGACAGTTCGTGTAGCGTGCTGAGAAGAACAAGACTTTACTACCTACCGATAGGGTAAATCTAATTTAAAATATCTTATTTCTATTAAAATACAATTACTATCAGTATTTTTGTCATCTATTGTCTTATTATCGTAATTCAAACTTAAATAAGGAGATAAATATTTAAAATCTTCTGATTATAATTATATATGTTTTTTCATTATGTCTCAATTTTGACGCTAAGGATCGCGCTTTTTACACTCAAAAAGTTTGGCTTGCCCGAATTAGCAGTAAAAATTTGGCAATGCTGGCGACGCCTGACTCCCTTAAGGATCATATATCTGTACTATATTCAAGACTACTCTCTTTCGTGCATCAATAGTATTTAAGAAAGCAAGCACAAAAGTCCAAGACGAGCGAATAAAACATTATGTACATATTAAATACATAATAAAATTACAAGTAATTAAATTGTATGTTTAAATTTTAAGAGCTATCTGTAGAGACAGCTCTTTATATGCAATACGCAATACTCACTCACTCTATCCAATTTTATATAATTTTCTTTCCAGTTTTATTTTATAGTATTCTGTTTAAAATAGTGTTGTTTCGTCTACACAATTATATATATAAAGTAACTCCAACTGGAAGTTTAAACTAGTAGCAAATATAATTATTTCTCAAATTTATTTATTATTTTTATATTGTTATTGTTTTTTTTTTACAAATTAAATGCTTCATTTAATTTGTAAACAAGATAAAGAAATTCTCGTAACTGACTAGGATAAAACCTACAACGAGCCAGCGCACCGTCGCCAGATCCTGACGGCAGTTTGGTGTAATCGCTTATCTAAGTTCAGTGGTACAAGCCGCGCATCAGGTGCGCTGGATACGTTGACATCTAGATGGAACGCTAATTGTCTATGGCCACGAGTTATTTATCGTGCTGAGATGAGGTATACATTATACTGGGTACAAAAAGACATGTACATGGCTATAACTTTTTGATCACCCTCCGATCGATACCCCGTCCAATTGAAATGAGGTCCGATGTTAGGACGGCCTGAGTCGAGATTCGAACCTCTAGCGGTGCCCTCAGACTAAAGTCGTATCCGTCAGGCGGGAGTTGGCCTTCAGCCGTTACATAAGTCCTTCCGGGGTTGCTGAAGGTTGCTGTGGGGAAGCTGTAAAGGCCAGCTGAGCCCAACAGCATTAGAGTAGCCCGAAAAAATTATATTTATTTTTTAAGTTTAAGAGGCTTCTACAACGCAATAAAGAACCTAATAAAGAAATTAGATTTTTTAAATTATTTGAATTTGAAATAGTACTTGATATATTTTTGTAATTCTAGGTTTTCAAACTTAAGATAAATGGAGTCAAGTCGTTGTTTGATTGATATTAATTCTGTATTTTGAACATATATTTTGGTATGATGAATACAGAAGTCAGTATGATATACTATAGTAACATATATACAAACATAAGCACGAATTGTATAAAAGTGTAAAAGTATAAAAATGATTGAGTTACTTTATATAAAACTGTCACTTATCTATACATCTATACATATAAATAAAATTGGAGTGTTTATTGTATAGTAATAACCATTTTTACTACATGCATATTATAAATAATTTTTTTTACAATATTTGTCTGTCTGTCTGTTTGTTCCGGCTAATCTCTGAAATAGCTGGATAGATTTTGACGGGACTTTTTTTGGCAGGTAGCTGATGTAATAAGGAGTACCTTAGGGTACTTTTATTTTAGAAAAATTAAGTTAATTTCCACGCGGACGTAGTCGCGAGAACAGCTAGTCATGAATTATTTAAATATCATGATTCAAATTTATTTATTTTTGATGCAGTTAAATAAAGTGTACATATGGCGGATGTAATAACTAGCGGCATTATCTACTAGGCAATCATGAGTGTTACAGAGAATGATTGTTTAATTGATATATCATATAATATTATTTAAATGTAAAGAAAGACTTTCCTAATCAGATAAAAGTAAATGTAAAACTATAAATTCATCTGTGGACATAGTAAATTAGATACTATACCCGTATTAAAGAAGTAACATTTATAACAAAGTGTCCACTCGTCGTGCACTTAGATTAATACGAGTTCATATTACAGGAAGCACTGTAGGCAGAAGGTGGTTATATTCGAAACCTGATAGCTACAGTAAAATGTACTCGATTTCAACCACTCAATTGAACAACCACTAAGAGATTGCGCACCTCACATCTAGTAAATCACGCAGCGTGGTCCCGACCCGCGCCGCTTATCGCTCCGCTCATCTGCCCGCCGCTCGCTCTAAATTAGATTGGACACGATTCTGTACCGCGACCAGGGTTGTCAACTGTATGATATCCTTATATGTGAACGAGATTTTTGGTGGTGTACGGTATGAAAGAATATTGTCAGAGATTTTTTTGGTATATTCATACTAATGTTATAAATGTTACAAATAACTTTTTTTGGAATTAACTGAACTAAATGGATTTTAACGAAATCTGATAAGGAAATATAATGTATCTCAGAAAAAGTAGATTGTCTTTTATTTAAAAAAAATAAAGCAGACAAATATAATTAGAATTTTCTTTGGAAAGAAAATAAGAGAAATGAACGATGAGAGGTAAGGAAAAAATTTTAATACAAAAAATTTGACGTTCGGCTAAAATGTCCTACATGCATATATGATTTTTGATTTGATTTTATTTGTAAGTAATCGTTCACAATGTACTTTTTTGCTTATGTTTTTAGAAAACAAAATTCAATACTAATTATTCGAACCAAAGTATGATTATACAACAAATTTTGTCCTACGGAAACATATGAATCGATCTTTTACTGCAATTAGATATATGTATTGTCGTATTCATAATTTGAATGATAAGACAAGCACATCATCATCATCTGCTTCTTCCTTATCCCATTTATTTGTTGTCGGCGTAATATGTTTTTCGCTTCCATTCATCCCTGTTCGTAGTCGTCGCGTTATTTACTTCCTTTCTTACCATATCATCTTTCACACAGTCCATCCATCCTTCCTCTGCCCTTATAACCATCCACTTTCATATGTAACACCTTCCTTAAAATATTATCCTCATTTCTACGCATTACATGTCCATACCACGATAGACGATTACTCTTCAACCTCTCTGACACCGGTGCCACTTTCATACTTCCTCTAATGTATTCATTCTTTATCTTATCCATTCTTGTCACACCATACATCCACCTCAACATTCTCATTTCAGTTGCATGCAGTCGTCTTTCATCCGTCGCCTTTATGGGCCAGCACTCTGATCCATACAAGACAGCAGGCCGGATCATGGTCTTGTAAATTTTCCCCTTAAGCTTAAGGGGAACACGCGAGTCACACGTCGTTGCCGTAACCTGCTGCCATTTCATCCATCCTGCTGATAAGACAAGGATATCATTAATTGTTATATGAAGAGTTAGCGTAACAAGTAACAACCGGCGCCTGCGCGCGCCCGGGCGCTCCACACCGGCGCCCCTGGGCGCCCCTCCGATCGATCCCCCGTCCAATTCAAACGGGGATCGAAATTACGACTGCTTGAGCCGAGGTTCGAATCCCTATTGGTGCCCTCAGACTAAAGTCGTATCCGTCAGGCAGGAGTTGGCCTTCAGCCGCTCCATAAGTCCTTCCGCGGGTTTGGAGTGCCATCTGCACTCGCCCCTAACGAAGCTGTAAAGGCCAGCTACGGCCAACAGCATTAGAGTAGTCCGAAAAAAAGTAACAACCCTAACTGATTTGGTAACCTCTATATGGTATGGGTATTTTAAAGTGTCTTTTACGGTTGACAACCCTGACCGGTCCCGTCCTTGTTTTTGAGAGAGACGATGTCACCAATGATTTGTCGTTTTTATGATATCGGCGCTGTGGCGGTGTTCTTTATTATTGGCGCGTGCAACGGTACTTGTGGGTATTCGGTCCTCTTGTTTGTATTTAATTATGCATCAAGTGTTTAAATGTGAAAATAATGGAATTATGTAT